ATAGACTTTACCTAAAGCAGAAACTTTATACAATCCGTATGGGTGAAGGTACCTCTATTCTCTCTCATCTTGACACCTTTGATTCCATTCTTATCGATTTGAGTAATATAGATACTGAAATTAAAGATGAGGATCAAGCCGTGTTACTACTTTGTTCTCTACCCCCATTTTTTAAGCATAGAAGAGATACTATACTTTATGCAAAGGATAATATCTCTTATAAAGATATTAAATCTATTTTAAAATCAAAAGAACAAATAGATAGTGATATTACTGGGGAAGCTAGTGGAACTCAAGCGGAAGTTGACTTGTTTGTTAGGGGTAAATCCGACTCCATATCCAGATACAATAATTTAGAGTGTCGCTATTGTCATAAGAAAGGTCACATTATTTCTGAATGCTATAAACTGAAAAATAAAGAAAAGCATAAAGAAAGAAAAAATGAGCACAAAAATACTGACACCGCCGAAGCTAGTGTAGCAACTGATGAGATTGAGGGAACTATATTTTTAACAACTGAAACTAGTTTTAGATCAGACAATGAGTGGATTTTAGATTCCGGTTGTTCATATCATATGTGTCCTAGCAGGGACTTATTTTCTACATATGATTCAGTTGCACATGGAGTTGTCCAACTAGATAACAATGTTACTTGTAACGTTATTGGCAATAGTACAATTCGGATCAGAATGCACGATGGTGTGATGAGAACTCTCACTGATGTTAGATATGATCATGAGTTGAAGAAAAATCTCATCTCTTTGGGCACTTTAGAATCCTTTGGGTGCAAATTCACTGGTGAAGGTGGAGTTCTAAAAATATTTCAAGGTGCTCTTGTGATCATGAAAGCACACATATCTGGTTCGTTGTATACTTTATTGGGCTCCACTGTTATAGGCCCTACTACAGTTTCGGTATCAAACAACATGTATGATTTTGATGACATTAAATTTTGACATATACCCATTGGGGCTTTTGCGGAGAAGGTGGAACAAATTTACTATATCAGCCAAAATTAGGCCAAGACGGAGATTTATAATATGGCCAATATTTTGGCTAATGGAGTCCATCTCACATAAGTATAAGTATCTTTGTAAAGTGTAGACTTTGTTGGCAATATTTTTTGGGACCCAAAAATATTGCATTATGTGGTGGACATCATTTGCACAAGTTGTATCTCTTCTTTTACACCTAAGATGCCAAGACTTTTTTGCCTATAAAAGGAAAGGCCATTAGTTCATTTTAAACATACCAACAAGACTTGAGTCTTCATTTCTTGTTTCTTCCTTTCCTCATTTATTAAGAGTATTTTGTATGAGAGTTAGTATTGGGAAACACTTGTCTGAACCCTTTCTCTTGGAGTGGTCTTGTGAGGTTATTCCCTTAGGGTTTTTGGGATTAATTAGAGTGTTTACTTTAATTTTGTACTCTCTTTTGTACTCTTATTGGTATAGTAAAATTGTTGCTCTCCGCTTGTGGACGTAGGTCACTTTGACCGAACCACGTTAAATTTGTGTCTTCTTTATATGCTTTAATTGCCGTTTTTATCAACTTTTTATTATCTTTGTCATTGTCATTATACTGTTATTTGACTAAATTTCGCGCTACCCGGATTCCCGATCCTAAAAATACCTAGAGAAGGATTCCTGGTCTATTTAACTACCTAAAGCTAGCCGAGAACGGAAGCTTTCTTATCATGTGATTAGTCGGCAACGACGGGAATGTCAAATGTGGATATTTAAGTTTGTGGCTGTGGTTTAATTAGAGGTCCCACTGCTATTTGGTTTCACTGTTTCCATGTCACATTAGATGGAAATCCTATGATGTCGCTGTATTTCTTTTTCCAATTTTTGCAAGTGTTAAAAGTGAGTCGGCCTATAATATATATTATGCTACAGTTTGTGTAGTTTGTCTGAGATATTAAAAGATAAGTCAAACTATAATTTGATTTGGCATTCCTGTTTACATCACGAGGAAAATTCTTGGGTATTACCTTTGACCGGCGTCAGAAACTATTTACATTCGATAGCCAAAAAAATATATAAAATTTATATAATTTTTATATATAAAATACATAATGCATATATAAAAAAATAAATATATTTTTTCAATTATTATTTTGAAAGCAACTATACAGTATCATTTCCCAAAATTATTTTGTCAATTGGAGGAGGACTCCATGGTCTCATTGATTCCTATTGAAGTCTTCCAATTTTCCCCCTTTTTTTTATACAAAAGTAAAGGTGATGTTAATGATAGTATTAAAGGTGGGTTTGGGCCAATGGAGTTCTTGTTTCATGGACTCTATATTTTTTAGGGCAGGCCCTTGAGCTCAGCAATTGTACAACAACATTACAAACTATGAGATTAAATTGAATAACTAAACAAAATAGCCGCACACCCAAATTCTTAATTTAAAAATAGACAACAGATATATAATATATGTATAATTCATGTATAATCTATGTATACATGCTAGGAAAAATAAACAATGAATCCGACCGGTTATTTGTGTAAGGATCCCGACAATAGTCATGAACTAGCCTTCCGGAGTAAAGGGGAGAGTGCTGCAGTATTTTAACAATTTTCCTAATAATAGAATAGCCTGTCAGCCATAGAGATAGAATTTTCAAATGACGATTGACATTTGACTAGAGTGGTGGTTGTGAGTAACTTGTAATTTACAAGTGCTGTTCGTGCAAGGCACTCATCAAATGACATGAGCTACCTAATGCTGGCTTTAAGTATATAACCAATGGTTAAGTTATAGTGGTTGCAAATTAATTCATTTTTAGGGTGTGTATAGTATTCCTTTTTTTTAATTAAAAAATGAGCTATTTATGGCAAGAAATATGGGCTTCTGGTAGTGTTTTTATTGACAGTTGAGAGAAGGAAACAAATTGACTATAAAAACTGGTTAAAGTAAAGTATACAATAAAAGTGCACTAATAATCTTATTCATATGCGTCCCCAAACGATGCTAGTCTGCTGGTCATTTCAAATATTATTTTTGTCTTTTCAATAGTTTAAAACAATCTAATAGTGTAAAATAATTCCACGAGGAAAATGATTTATGCCACATAAAAGACGCCGTTGTGGATAATGTGCGTTTTACTCATTTACTAGCATTCTTTTCATAGTATAGGCTTGTCATGAATCATGATATGGACATATTATCCATTGATATTTTGAATATGAAGCCTCTTCCTAAATTCAAACGTTTGGAAACATGAAAATATCATAGAACTACGAGTCAATTGGCAAAAAAGTGATATCCCGTATTTTAAAGATGATTATCACCCTTGAGGACGTAAGAATTTTACTACTTCCTCTGTCTTAATTATCTAGTGTTTGGACATGGATTTGATTGAAACTTAAAAAAAAATTGAACATAAAATTAAAAATAATTTTTGAAAGTTGAAATTATACTTGGACGTGCATTTTACTTTAAAAGAATTTGAAGCTTTGTAAATAAAAAAATTCAAAAACTATCCTAGAGTTGTTTTTTGGATTTGAAGATTTTGTTTTCAAAATCTGCCCAAAATGTAATATCTATAAAAAGATAGATATTTGAAAATAAAATTTGAAAAACAAACTCCAAAATTTTATGGCCAAATGGGAACTTAATTTATATTCACATATTTGATTTGGGCACGTAATTTAAGAAAGAATAAAAATTTTTTGGTATTTGTGATTTAAACAAGTCAAGATTAAAAAAGACTTTTAAAATTTATACCCCTTTCGGTCCACTTTAATTGATTTTTTAGTCTTTTTTTGTGATCCATATTATTTAATTTTTTCAGATATCAAGAGGAATTAACTTCTTTTTTCTAAAGTTACCCTTGGAGTAAAGAGCTTAGGAGTATTTGTTATATTTTCAATGAACAAGTTAAGGTTAATATGATCAATTTCATTGTTAATTAATGCTAAAATGTGAATTCTTAATATGTATAAAAACAACCAAAAAAATCAATTAAAATGAACTTGAAAAAGTAACTTTTAATATGTCAAAATATTTGTGACTATAAAAATTTCTAACTAAAGTATCACATAAAAGTAAAGTTAAAAAAAATTCAAATTTAATGTATTGATTAGACGGAAATAAAGTCACGTACACAGAAACGGATGACGAAGCAGTTGTTAGGCACAAGTCAATTTTGTACTAGGCGAGGTTTTGAGATTGACAACTACGTGTTGATCCGTCCGAGTAATTAAATAACTACTCAGTAAATGTGTTGTGTGTTTCATCATTTAATTGGGAATTTCAATAAGTCACCGCACAACTAGCTTAATACTGCTACTTTGAAATTCTCTTTTAGATAGTAATTACTAGGTGCCTTGAAAAACCAATCACGCAATACTCTTAACATGCGACACTGTGAATTAATCACAGATTTGTCTGTTTGGCAACCTCACAATTGACATGAATATTTAAGTGAAGTTGGAAAATTTGTTGCGCATGAACATGACTATCATTTTAAAAAAATTTACTAGTTTTAAGCTATTAATTTATTTGAAACACTCTTAACATAATTTTTTAAATATATTTTATCAATATTTCAAATGTTTAGTATGTACCAATGGTCAAATTATTATTTACAAATATTGAACTTCAAAAGTATTACGTATATGCTGTCGGTTAAGCTCTAGTTATGAACAGCGCAAAATTAATAGAAGAGCCAAAAAATCAAAGGATGATGAGAAAGCCCATGTGATATTAAATGGTGCTGTTGAAAGCGAATGAAAACAAAGTGCATTCATGTATGAAATTTTTTGGCATTGCGTCTTAAATTACAGAACGTGACAAAGGTTTCCCTTTGTTTACTATCGAAATGAAATGAACAAAATTAATTTCCAAATTATCCTCCGTTAGGGATACTATGAAGTTTGGTACATAACCACCGACAGATATCACGCAATTCCTTGCCGCCACGTGTCAGTTTGTAGATAACCAAAGGCCAAGATTAAATCTGATAAATCGTCACAGTAAAAGTAACATGCCTTTAGAGGATTACAGCGGAGAAGAAACCGCGTATACATTGCCCCGCTTCTCTGCATATATATATATATAACACACACAAACACACACACTGATTTGTACGTATAAGAATATAATCTGAGTGCCAGTAGAGATCGAGTTCGAGTGCTGGTGCGAAAATGGAGTTTTTCTATTACGTGGTGTTTGGGGCTCTGGCCGCAGTGGTAGCAGCTCTGGAGCTGGGTGGAAAGAGCAACAAAGATCGAATCACAACTTCTCAGGCTTTCAATTCCTTCAAGAATAATTACATTCTTGTTTACTCTCTTATGATGGGTATGTTCCTTTTCTTCTCCTCAGATCTGAGCCTGTTTCTACCTCTAATTGATTAAATCACTCTGCATTTTTCACATTAATGTCTGTTGGAATTCTCTTACTTACGTGCTCGATCTGATTATCTGAGCGTGGACTTTTTCGGAATTTGAATCTTATCTATTTGGATCTGAGTTTAGAGTTGTTTTTGCTGTAAATTAAATGAGCAGATTGGGTCTTGAAGTCTTGATATGCAGCCTAATTTGCTTAATGGTCTTTAGATCTGTGCATGATCATTTCACTTAATGATTCCTTGTTAATCCAGCTGTATTATCTAAGCAACTATTTATTCATTATGCCTATGGATTAATTGAGGTTCCAATGATCATTAGCACAACTAAAAAGCAAAAGAGGCTAAGTATTTACTTCTTGATCCTATGCTGGAATAATTCCATAATTAACAGTTACATTATGTATGGAGTAATAATATATATGAGTAGATGATACTTCCAGCTTTTATGATTTGTGTGAATGGTGGTGTTTCCCTTTGCTAACGCTTGGGTATTTTGTGGCCATAGCCGGTGATTGGCTACAGGGTCCATATGTATACTACCTTTACAGCACTTATGGATTTGGAAAGGGGGATATTGGACAGCTCTTTATTGCTGGATTTGGATCTTCCATGTTGTTTGGCACAATTGTTGGATCTCTTGCTGACAAACAGTAGGCTTTCAGAATATTTTGTGTGTCAATAATCATCTTTTAATACCAAAAAGTTTCTTGTTTACATGATCTGCCTTGCATTTTAAATTTCAGAGGTCGGAAGAGGGCATGTGTAACGTACTGTATCACTTACATACTGAGCTGCATCACCAAGCATTCACCTCAATACAAGATTCTGATGATTGGACGTGTTTTGGGTGGCATTGCTACATCTCTACTGTTTTCAGCATTTGAGTCATGGCTTGTAGCAGAACACTTTAAGGTGACATGACATGTCCTTATTATCAAGCTGCCTTTTAAGTAGGAAATCCAAACTGTTAAATTTGATCTTTATACATTGTTGATCGTACTACCATTGTCCTTGAGATACAACTTACAGTCCTTTGAAGGAACATAGCAAGTGCTTGCTCTTTGTTTTTGCTTTATTATTAATCTAATATATTTTTATGAAGTTTTAATATATTACTTGCTTTCTTTGTGCAGAGGGGTTTTGACTCCCAATGGCTCTCACTAACTTTCTCCAAGGCAATATTTGTTGGAAATGGTCTTGTTGCCATTATCGCTGGATTGTTTGGGAATTTTCTTGTTGATTCATTAAATCTTGGCCCTGTGTCTCCTTTTGATGCTGCTGCCTGCTTTCTTGCCATTGGAATGGCTATCATATTATCATCATGGTCGGAGAACTATGGAGACGCATCAGAGAGCAAAGACTTGCTCACTCAATTCAAGGGTGCAGCTGTGGCCATTGCTTCAGGTATAGCTAGATATGCTACACATTATGTTTTTTTGTGGACAATCTTCAACCTATGCATCTATCAAAGTGGATAGAGTGATTCCCTTCGGATGAGATTTGACATGGATATAGATGTGCTATGTGCTCCCTATTTATCTATTAGAGTTAGAGTTTCATAGCAAAGTGGTTTCGGGAAGTTATAAGGTTAATTACATTCTGCTATCTTTAAGGTTACAGGAACGCACCATTTCTGCACCCAGGTTATCTGTTATGATTTAAAGCTCCAAAGCTGCCTGAAAAAGGGCAGGCGTAGGTTGCATTTTCAGGGACTTAACATCTTTTTCTGTTCTCTTGATACTGCATTCTTTGTGATATATCTGTTTGATATATTCAATGATGGCTGTTCAATTTGTAGCTCTTGCACCCTGTGTCATTACTCGATTTTTTGTTTTGTTTACATTAACTTTTGCACTATCCTTATTGCTGCACGGTTTCTTTGACAGATGAGAAGATTGCATTACTCGGTGCTATACAATCTCTGTTTGAAGGTTCAATGTATACATTTGTGTTTCTGTGGACTCCTGCTCTCAGCCCAAATGATGAAGACATTCCCCATGGTTTTATATTTGCAACTTTCATGTTGGCTTCAATGTTGGGAAGCTCATTTGCAGCTCGTCTTATGGCCCAGAACTCACCTAAAGTTGAGAGTTACATGCAAATTGTTTTTGTCGTATCTTCTGCATCTCTCTTGCTGCCCATTCTGACAACTGTAAGTAGAAATGCCTTTGCTCTTTGAGTTTTCTGCCTTGTGGTTTGTTGGTTTTTAACATCTTTCATTGAACCAGTTCCTAGTATCTCCTTCAAATGTGAAAGGGGGAGGCATCTCCTTTTCTGGATGTATCCAGCTTCTTGGCTTCTGCACCTTCGAGGGTTGCTGTGGCCTCTTCTGGCCATCCATCATGAAGATGAGGTCTCAATACATTCCCGAGGAGGCAAGGAGCACCATAATGAACTTCTTCAGGATTCCCCTCAACATCTTCGTGTGCATTGTGCTTTACAATGTATGTTATCGTTCTTCTGCTCCAAGTAACTGTGCTGCACATGTTCCTTTTCTTACATTTATTTACTCAAGCAATTGTTGTGCTGCAAGACATAATTTTTTTTTTTCAATTCCAGCATTCTGATTTTTGACGATCTTTTTATGTCAATTTGAAGGTCAACGCTTTCCCCATCACTGTGATGTTTGGCATGTGCTCAATTTTCCTCTTTGTTGCATCCATCCTGCAAAGACGGCTTGCAGCCATCGCAGACAAGCCAAGTAAGTACGCGGTTCTCTCTAAAGCTTGCAAGGAAATTGACGCCTTAGATTTAAGATCATTCATTACCAATTCTGAGGCAGGATAAGTTCTCACACATGAACCAATCGTACTTGATTATGACTTGTTATTGCATTACCTTCTTTTGCTCTATGTAACTTTGATGGATTAACTTAATATTGTTACTGATTGCAGAAGCAGAAGATTGGGTGGCAATGAAGGAAAGGGATACTGAGGTCGATCCATTAAATGCACCTTGATTTAGCAGTCAAATATCCTATGTGAAATTTGTCTGCAAAGGACTATTCATTACCCATAATCGGCCATCAGGATTTAATATTAGTTGAGCTTACAATTGTTAAAGAGAAATACCATGGATTCATAATGGAGCTGTTCCTGCCTAGCAGATAAGAAAGAGGCGGATAAGCTAGTGATGTTATTCTCGTTCCCTGGTTGTGTTCTTAAAAGACAAACACTTTAACACGTTTTCGACTATTTTCATTTATCTCAGATTGTGCTGCTGTGATAGCGCATTACTTTACTCTATGATTTTTTACCTGTTTCCTTAGCCATGGTTCACAAGTATCGACCGAGGCCTACTTTTATGTCATAGGTTTAATCTTTTTGACAATTTATCTCGAATGTAATAGTGAAAAACACAAGTCAATTCTTTTTCTTAAGCAAAGCTGCAATTCTTGGGAAATTTTGTTGGTGATTGAGATGTCAGGCAAATGTCTAAAACTGGGTTGGTTTGCGGGTTTATTTTCATTTAAATATTTTTTATTTATATTCTATTCGCTTTAGCCTTTCTCGACCAAGAAAGAGTGCTGTAATGGGTAGCATAACAGGGGACTCGGGTGCAGAGCCGCTACTCTCTTGAACCATAAAAGTTTTAATCTTTGTATAAATTCTTTTCTTTTCCAGAATAAAATTTTGGATAACTGATATAATCTCCCTATAACTAATACCTTATACAGATAGTTTCACCGAAATTTGTCGATTGTGGGATTAAAATTCTTGTATTACCAAAATGTAAATAAGAGTATTTAAAGACATAACAATTCATTGCATAAACAATCTCTGCACTATAATCTTCCTATACGCAGACGGTTAACCAAACAACATTTTCCCTGTTTGGTGAAAATGAATGACCACATTTCCCTGTTTGGCGATAGCAGTTCTTTTTTTGTGCAATTTTAGTCTGAATTCAAGGTTGGAAGAGAGCCTGCTTAGAGCGTTGATTCCACTTGAAACTATGAGAACTTGGAATACTCTAGGCAAGTCATTTTTCAGAGATAGAAGAATTAGAGGCTTCAACTCAAAAACTTACTCACGGAGTGTGTTTATACCGTGCAAATTATATTAATTTATCCTGGTTAAGTGATAACTTAATGTGAGAAATATATTTAATCACGGTAATATGATTAAAGTCTGTAAGAGGCAAGTGTCATATAGCCGTTGATTTCGTGTAAACATTAGGTATAGCAAATTTTTTTTTTTTTTTTTTTATTTTTTTTTTTACACATTAACTTGCTGATGATGAACATTATGATAGGTGGTAGAAAGGTGTTCTGTAAGAAATTGATACAATATTGGAAATCCTAGGTTTGCTAGACTCACTACTGCAGCATTTAAATTGGTTGACTATAAATCCTTGCAAGTTCAATCTAACTAGTTATCCAACTAATTTATTACTTTAGTCTTAATTTTACTTGGTTATAATCCTTTTGCCCTAATATGTATGTTGGTAAAAACTAAATTGATTAAATCAAGTGAACCTCAAACTATTGAATAACTAAATCAAGGTTGAAGTTCATATTATATTTTACAAGGTAAATAATACTTTCAAGTTCCAATCTTATGAACTTTTGAATTAGAATTCTTGCGGAGCTCATGGACTGGCCCATTTATTATATCAAACAATCCCAAGAAAGCTGAGTTATACTGGTTGATTTCTTGACCACTTAAGTTACTGTTTTTGGTTAAATTGGAGTAAATCAGAGTTTAGCAAGATTTGGAGTAGAAGATGAAATGAGCAGGACAAACCGATCTAAAAAGAAATTTTTCTTCAATAATTATAAAGTACACTTGGATACAGACGAAGTTGGGGCTTAAATTTACTTTCAAAGATTAATGAATACATCATATTACATACAAAAACATTGAAATATTACCATTACAAGGAATTTTGTTTTTAAAGATACAAAAAAAAGTTTAGGTGTTTTTTACATATTTGCCTAGAATCACCCGACAGACATACGTGACAAGTAACCAATGAAACAGACGAGATGCACATAAGCTGATCCAGTTACACCAGCCGGCTTCGTTTAGCCTGGGCTGAAGCAGCTTCAAAATCACCAATGAAGAAAAGGATCTTGTCCAATATGCCTAAATTGGGTTCCTCCTTATGTTCTGGTGAATCAGAGATGCCTTCCATTTTAGATATTCTTGAACCTAAATGTCTTTGAATTTCACCTTGGTGTATTAGGTAGTAGTCATCTCCTTCCCTTATAATCTTCAATCCCCTGAAAAATCATGTAAAAAAAAATTATGAATGCAAAACTAAAACATGTACTACAATATATAGAATTTGGCAATTGAGCTTACAATCCATTCCGATCACAACGATCTTGAACCATATACACATGTTTCCATGACTTAGAATCTGAAGGGGCATAAAAAGTGGCTTGATCTAATCCCCATCTTTCAATGAACAAATCACACCACAAGCTATTATCTGAACCCAAAATTTTCCACCTTCTGCAAACTTTCAAAAAAAACAAAAACATCTCTTTTCAAAGCATGGAACTTTGACTTTTTTTGGGGTCAAAACAGAGATCCAATTTTAATGCCAAATACAGCTTCATGAGAAATTCAGATCATTTCGTCAATAAATGCATAATTAGAAAGATACCCAATTGTCAGAAGAACTCCATATTAACTGCAAATCCGTTATATAATACTATAAGTTGCCAAATGAATCAGTAGAATTAAGACTAACCCAATTGAGCAGTTGCAAGGTTACGGTGATCCANTATTTACTCTGCATGTCCGACTCAGACTCCCAGGTAGATGCCTCTACCGACTGACCTCTCCATTAGACCCGAACTGAAGGATAACTCTTAGACCTCAACTGTCAGACCTGCCGGGCTAGAGTAGCCACCGGCTCCTCTTCATAAGTCAAATCTTTGTCCAATTGGACTTAGCTGAAATCTAACACATGGGACAGATCACCATGGTATTTCCGGAGCATAGGCACATGAAATACCGAATGAACCGCTGATAAATTAGGTGGTAATGCAAGCCTGTAGGCTACTTCACCNGGGGGGTTGTTACAGGAGAGAGTTGAGAGAATGGATGAACCGTTAACTTGGCTCTGTTTGCAAGTGCACTTTACTCTTCACCTTTGCCTTCTTTTTTGGACGTTACTGTGTGCTGGATTTTTGGTTACGTCCAAATTATTATTATTTTCATTACCTTATCGAGTATACATATATATGACTTCTACTCGCCATGCTGTCCTCTAGTTTTAAATAAACAAACAGGAACAGTGATCCTCTTTAAACTTTGTAGTGTAGAGACAACTGACAAGGATGAAAGAGTTTTAAATGAATATGATTAAGTTTTCTGGAAAATGGTTTTTGAATAAAATAAACTTTAAAGGATAATAACTATAGAATTTTTTTTAAAAGAATTTGTAAAACTTTTCAAAGAGTTCTACCCCTTTAGTTTATTTGATGTGATATTATTTCCTTATTAATTTGTTTAAGAAATAATATAGTTTATATTTGAATATATTTAACTTTAAACTTTTTATTTTCCTCTTAATAAGAAGTTTTTTAGCCACACAAATATCATGTCAAGTTTCAAAAATCTTATAGCCACACAAATGTTATGTCATATCTAGAATTATAAAGTTTCAAAATTCTTTTTTCTTCAATTCTGCATCGATACATAAATTGGTGCAAAGAGAGTGTATTTGTTAAGTTTTTCAAATATGGTTTTACTACGAGACGTTTATCTAATACAGTAGTTCTTTATGAATAAAATAAACTTTACAGGATAACAAGTGTTGAAATATTCTTTTCAGGTCCAGTTATGTTCCTGTACTGCATATAATCTTACTAAAGACTAATTTATATGAATCTGTCTCTAAACTAATTTAGCTGGTTTAAATCTTTTCACTATAAGGTGGTCTAATGTTCTTTTTATCGACCAGTTCGCAAAACATTAACTTCCTAAAACAAAATATAAGGTGTACTGACATTAACAATTAAAAAAAAAAAATTAAGTTATATATATATTGGCAACGTAAACTTTTGTATCAGATAAAATTACCTGTTGCAAGTATCAATTTAATCAGATAGTGCAAAATGTTTACGACCATTATACAGAACTTAAACTCTTAAACAAACGGATGAGGTGAGCCTGAGAGGGGTGGAGAGAAATGCAGTCTATAAGAGTTATTTTCCAAAAACTTTAATTATCTTTTGAAGAATAACGAGACCAGAAAGCATCTTCAAAGAGCAAAGTTTTTACGTCTCGTTACATTTGAAAAGATACCAGAAATTAGTATAGAGAACAAGTCAAAAACACGGCAGGCTTTAGTCATTGATATCGTTACTCTGGCGATCATTCGCAATTCAACTTTCAGCTTTAGCTCATAGCTTCACTTATCTGACAAATCAAAATCATAAAGGGGACCTATTTTATTTGTGAGGCGAATATCCGAAAAATACTTACCCGCACTCTGTGTTTATATTTCATCTTTTATGATCACATTCCAGTCAACTTGCCACCAGGGCCAAAACTGAGCAGAAGAAACGGCAAACTAAAAGCCGCAGCAGACAACCTCTATTTCGCAAGTACATTCATGGTCCAAAGATTTTTGTACAAAATATGCAAGTACAATTGTTTAAGTTGCTTGAGTCCAGGTATACAAATATCATCTCCCTTCAAATATATAATACCATTCACTCTCCAGCAAAATTTCTAAATGTTCTATCCACAAAAGTTTGGATAATGATTTAGAAAGGAAAAAGGAAAACCAAGGACTGGACTGTGAACAAAAAAATGTTCATCTACCATCAAGTGAAAGCAAGGACAGTGAGGATTGGATCAGGTTTTCCATCCTGTCCCTCAAACTGGATACTGTATTTAACAATGGATTAGAGAATTTCACGCTATCCCTAGAGGGGTTGCTCTCCTGTAGTATTTGGATTTGCCTCTCCAAATACTTGTTGAGACAAGCACCTGCTATGTTAATTAAGCTAAGAGAAGGATTTGTGTGCATGAACTTGGCAACAAGAAATCCTGCTAAAATCTGCTGCCCTGATCTCACAAGCTCCGAGACAAAACAGGGAAATACCAGTCTTGTGAAAAGATCAATATGATCTTTTGGAATATTCTCACTTTCTACAGATCCACCACATCCAACATCTGACGACTGGGAATCTTGGCACTGTCGGGAAAAGTTCCCAACCATATAGCAAAGATAGGAGAATACTGTACCATATGAAGGTTTGGTGATGATAGTTGATATAACTCCAGAAGATAAAACAAGTACTAAAAACTCAAGATCCATGCTGATTTTATCAGATATGCCTTCTCGTTTCAGCTTCTGCTCGACAGTATCCAAGCACTGCAACTGGACTACTTCATATGGCAACAAGAGCATCAACTTAAGGGCTAGAAAGCAATCCA